ATATATATATATATATATATATATATATATATATATATATATATAACAACTTGGAGGATTGATAAAAAATAAAAAAGAATATTTGGTTTGCAAACCTAAGAAATTCTTTTGTAACTTTAAATAAGATTCTAGACAATTACATATAAATTTTTGAAATGCAATTATATTATTCAAATTTAATAAAAATATTATTGATCAGTATATATATCTAAAGATTAGTGAGGGTAAGTTTATTAGAGAGATTTAATATGCACCTTTGTTTAACGAATGCTACACTTATGACTAAAGGTGAAAAATTCAATCTAAGTTAGTTTCTTAAAAATGATTTGAAAAAGAATCAAATAAAGTGTATTCAATATGCATATGTAATTAAAAATTTATTATATGCTCAGATCTATATTAGACTAAATATTAATTTTATAATTATAATATTAGAAAAATATTAGATTTATCTAATAATAAAATACTACAAGAGTGCAAAGAAAGTAATAAGATTTATATAAGGAATGAAGGATTAAATGCTTAGATATAAGAGATTAGATCAACTTGAAATGATAGTATTTTCATATACTGATTTTGTAAATTATCTCGATATTAAGAAGTATACTTTAATATTTATATTTATTTTAGTTGAAGAGATAGTTTATAAAAATATATTATTATATTATTAATAGTAGAAGATGATTTAGTGATATGTTTTGAGATCACTGATCAAGCTTTATAACTACGAAAGTTTATCTCAAAACTTTGTGTGGTCAACTCAATTGTTAAGTCAGTAAAGATATTTTGTAATATACCATAGCAATTTTCTTCTTTAAGAATAATAAGTACTCTGACAATTCTCAGCATATTGGCATATAATACTTGGTGGTTAAAGAAAGGGTTTAAAATTAATAAATGTTAGTTGAGAATTTTAGTTTTACTGTATTGATTGTTAACCCATTTACTAAGGTCTTATAGCTTCAGATATTTAAAAAAATATTCTCAGATTGTAATTAGTCATAAAAGATATGATGATGCATATTTAAGTAGATATTATAATTGATATTTTTACTTTATGTAATTAAAATTATTATTTTTGTTATTCTATTTTTTATTTATGCATGTATATATTATGTTTGTACGTGATTATAAGATTGTCTTGACAAGATAAATTATATGGGTAATTATGGAATGCATTGAGAAGGACTAATAATGCTGTAATACAAAAAAGGAAGTATGACGCAAATAACATATAACCATTACGACTTGTATTGATAGTCTAACATAATATAGTATTATAATATTTATTGAAGCTATCAACATGTTTTCTAAAATCATGCATGTATAAATTATTTTTTAAAATATAAAATATAATTATTAAAAAAACTTTATTATTATAATTTTTAAAATTTTGTTTTACATCTTTGTCGGTTTATGAGATAAGTGGAAGAATGTTAACCAGGTATGTGGCTCATAACCTAATTGATGAGATGTATTAAGGATAGTGATTGAATTATAATTAAAGATTTAAATATCGATATTTATATAAGTTAAAATCTTGGATATTGATCTTGATGGAAGGGAATATATGAGATTAGACCCTCTCTCCTCTTATAGGTAATTCCATTGTGTGTTTTAATGCTTTTGAAGCACAACTCCATTAATAATGGTGATCTTATGAAAAAGTATAAGAGAGGTAAAAAGGGTGAAGACGATAAAAAAAGATAACAATAAAAGGTATTTCGACTCAATATAAGCACGCAGACATGTTAGATTTTAATTTTGGTATAAATGTTTCGAAGTTGCGTATCTATTTCTAACACGAAATTGTTAACTCCCATATTTCCCAAGTCTCGTTTACATCTGTTGTGCATGAGAAGAAGCTGAGATGGAAGAACAGCAAGAGAAGAAGGCGCAGAGTGTCGTCGATGGCGATGACCTGAACGCTGTTGTTTCCTGGCGAAGAAGAAGAAGAACGGCAAGAGAAGGAAGTCTTCAAATTTCGTGTTATTATTATTAACTTGTACATGAAGTTGTTGATGAGGACTCGGTATAAAAACCCAAAAATAATAAAAAAAAAACACATTGGTACGATTCCATGGGAGTCCACACTGTAAACATGATCCCCTTTGTGTTTCGATCAATCCACGTAATGAACTTGCTTTACGTTTCAATCACGAGTAAAGTAGTTCCTTTTGTGAACCGAGTGCGATTTCTCTATCTACACTAAAGAAGAGAGTGGTTTGGTCATCTGCCCCGGATCGAAGGGTGGAGTCAAGAGGAGGAGGAGATCCATCGTGTTGATTCGGTATGAGTTGTGCCCAATAATAACTTGCAGTTGCCACGAGAAAGAACTTCGACCGGCGAAGCATCAGCGGAACTCTGTGACTACATATCAAATTGCAGTAACACATTTTGCGTACGATTTTCCCACGTCGCTTATTTTTAATCCTGGATTCTATTTTCTTACGTGAAGATAAGACGTCATTCGGATCGGATCCTGCAACGTGCGGCTCACACACACTCACTCGGATACTTTTAATAACCCCAACCAACCATCCCAGAGTCACACACCCTTCACCTAAACGGAAAAAACGACGACAACAAACACAGCTCGAGCTTCCCGCTTTCAACAGTCGGCCAACTAGCGAAAAGGAAATACACAATAATTGGTCTCTCCCCCGTTCGGTCTTTCTAGCGATCCCTCTTTGACATCGTGCCATCACAACTGGGGCCCACAATTCGGCGGAGTTACCTGGTGCCTGGTTCGACCGACTCACGCAGACACCATCTCATATGACACAGGTGGGGCCCATGTCGAGGACATGCGACCTAACGCAGGCTGGCCGCTTCATAACGTCAACACAGGCAGATGAATGAATGAGAGAGAGAGAGATGGAACAACGGCCGAAACAAAAAGAGGCGGCGGCGGATACTGCCCTCCACGGCGACGTGTTGGACGCCATCGTCTCCCGCGTGTCCCCCCTCGACCTCCTCCCCGCCTCCCGCGTCTCCAAGGCTTGGCGTGCCGCCGTCCTCTCCTCCCCCCGCCGCCCGCCGCCGTGGTTCATCCTCCACCACCTGGGTCGTCGCCAGGTTGCCGCCGCCTTTGACCCCCTCTCCCGCGCGTGGCGGTCTCTCCCCTTCGCGCCCAGCTACCCTTCCCACCGCCAGGGCCCCCAGCCGCAGCAGGTCTCCTCCTACATGCTCTCCCCCGGAGGCGGCACCCGCCTCTGCGTCCTCTCTGTCTCGGCGCTAGCCCTCGCCACAGACCCCTTCGGCGCTTCCTGGCGCCAGCTGGAGCCGCCGCGCTACTCGCGGACGGACCCGGTGGTGGCCGTCGTTGGGACCCGCGTCGTGGTGGCGGGCGGCGCGAGCGACCTCGAGGACGGAGAGAACGCGGTCGAGGTGTTCGACGGAGGCGCCAGCGGCGCATGGGTTTCGTGTGAGCCCATGCCGGAAGCCTTCAGATGGTCCGAATCGATCTCCTCGGCGGCCGTGGGGCGGAGGCTGTACGTTCTGGAGAAGCAGTCACCCTTCACCTTGAGCTGGTTCGACGTGGAATCCAGGCGGTGGGGGCCGGCGCGAGGCGTGCGCGTGCCGGACCCGACCGTGCGGCACGCGGCCATCGGGTTCGCGAACGGGCGCCTGCTGCTGGCGGGGGCGGGCGGGATCGGGACGGGGTTCGGCTGGAGGGCGGAGAGCGTGCGGCTGTGGGCGGTGGACGAGGAATCCCTGCAGGTAGAGGAGGAGGTAGGGAGCATGCCGCGGGCGATGGTGGAGGAGCTGGTGGGTGACGGGGGGTGGGGCCTGTCGTCGCTCGGATTCCTGAGCGAGGGGAGGTTCGCCTACGTCTACAACCCGTCCTACCCGAAGGATTTATTCCTGTGCGAGCTGGAGGAGGGCGGCGGGTGCAGGTGGGAAAGCGTCCCGCGGCCAGCGTGCATGGAGGAGCGCCCGACGCACAGGGTGGTGGTCGGCTGCTGCCAAGTAGGGGTGGAGGACCTAATGATGGGCAAAGATAGGACCGTCTAAGCTTGGACCGAGAAAAGAATACCGGGAGTGGCCTCAGCTTTAGCTTTAGCTTTAGCTTTTCCTGGAGACACTGGGAGGTGGCCGCCACCCATGAAGCAGCCTTTTGCAGGGGAAATGGCCACTCAGAAGGTACGAAGAAGATTGACATCTACTATATATTAAATATTTGTTTGATTTCACGCATTATGTATATCTGCTTGATGATTTTGTGATCCAGCCAATAACAGCTTCTGCATTCTCTGGACACTGATAATTATATAAGACACTTTAATCATCACTTCGATAGGATATGGTTGGATCGGATCTTATCTTCTTCTATTGCCTTTCCTGCTACTTATCTGTTCTTCGTAAAGTTTGTTTCTTTTAAGCGCCTAGCTGTTGTTGTTATAGTGCGTGCTCTCTACCATAACTCAGAAAGAATACTGATTCGATCATTAGAAGAGGTTTTTTTTTAATGCAAGTAATTGGTGGGGTGGATCGACAAAGTCGAGAACACCTCAGCTATAAAAAAAATTATCTAGTTTGGTAACTCATTTATATATACAAAAACTCTAAAATCGATTATTATTTTTAATTATTTGAAATCATCGTCATCATCCTTCCATAAGCTTTTACTAGAATCGAACCTTCACCTATCACGTCGACAAAGTTGCAGGAGTTCCTATTGTCAATTGTCAATGACATGCTCGCCCAATCCCTTTGCCTTTATGTCGATTTCAACTTAATATATCGTATTTACAATTAATGTGATATTTCCTAATGTCAATTGTCTGCATGGTACAGAAATGCTTAATGACAAGCTAAAAAAATGTGAAAATAAGGGTAAAATATTGTCAATATTAGTTGCCAATTTGTAATTTTGATAAGTACATGTTCGGATTACAGGCTTGTAAGTAATAATTGTGCAGAAAGTTAAACCCCAGTCTGACTTTATGATAAGAATTATGCTGCAGGGAAGTGAATCATCATCTTACACCAAAATTAGGCAGAATTTGTACCTGGTTTCACACGAGTGCAACAATCAATTCTTCTGATGCTGAAAGTATTCTTTCTGATATTAATATGACCATGGATGATGGAAGTTCTCCAATATAAGATCATGAAAATAGAACAAATCCAAAAAGAAAGAAAGAACATAGCTTTTGAGTTCCACGGAAATAACAGCCGAGGATGAGCTGAAAATAAATGCTCATGTTTTTGCAAATGAAGAAACAAAGGTTCTGCTAATAAAGACGTTAAAGATGACGTCCAAGGGCAGAAGCTACCGTTGCTTGTTCACCACCTTCCAATGCTCTTCATGAAAGTATATATTGCATGCTCTTAAGATAAGAATATGAAACAGCTGATATTTGATTTAAGCTGTCAAAATGGCCATTCGTCTATATTCAGATATGATGTCAGACTAATTTGATGCCGCAATGCAATTTTATCTGAGAGGTAATGTATCAAGTAAAAGAGAAGAAAGAAGTTTTATGCAGTGAAATCAGGCAGCAAACTCAAGTGGCAGTTAACCTAAACATTCAATTAAACAGGGAAAACCTCTGGAGAGCTTCACACATCGAAAAGAAGTGACTAGCAAACTGTGCAAGCAAAGCTTCAACCGTACGATGTTCACATAATGATGCAGCGGCCCCTTTCTTCCACCTGAGGTGCAGTAGCTGGTTGATATCTGTTTGGGTCTGATGGGTTGTACGTGAACTCAGAGGTATCAAGACCATACTAGCAGAAGAAAACAACACAAAGAAAGAAAATTAGAACTAACAAGTGTAACAAATTGCAAACACAGTCGAAGATTCCATGCAGAGTGCAGAGATCACCTTTTCCCTCATCCGTTGGCTCCAGGCATCATTTCTGCTAGGACGATGGTCAAGAGTGCCAAGAACAGGTACTCCAGTTGCCGGAGTTCCTTGCCGGTTCATTAATGGCTGTCGGATGGTAGATCTTGGAGCAATATATTCATCATCACTATCATATTCGGCAGGCCTGTTTGCTGCTCTTACAATAAGGGCTAACACGAATACAAAGGCCTGCAGATTATATTCATATAATTCCTAAGTCCACAATGGAGCTTCACACAGATGTTATAATAAATTAATGATCTTAATAAAATAAAGATTAATTAGTGCAAAACAATTTAAGACATCACTCAACTTCAGGGTTGCAACTGGCATGTGAAAATATCCTAGGTTATTCTTGAATAAATCTGTGTGGCTTGGTCCCCTCTATAACAGGAAGTGATCACTGAATGCACAAAGGATCAAACAAAGTTGTTTCCAAGTAACTTGGACCCAACCAAAGCTTAAATCCTGAAAAGAACTGTACAGATATCTTACAAGGATCAACCAAAGTTGATTCCAAGTAAATTGGACCCAAATAAAGCCAAAATCTTAAAATGAACTATACAGATATCTTACTTGGACCCAACCAAAGCCTAAATCCTAAACTGAACTATACAGATATCTTACAAGAGGAAAGGATGCCCATCCAATATTGACCTCTGACAATAAAGAAGTTAAACAACCCAGATCCCTTGCATGAACACAAACTAACAGCCATTTTTATGGTCATGACCATACACGACTAGAGGAGCATTTTAAGTGTTATCTTAAAAGAACTAGTAACAACTGACTGCAGCTTTTCTAAGAACTTTTGCTAATTTCTAAAGACTTACAGCAGGAGCATCTGATAGAAAACAATGGATCAAGTATCACACTTATTATAGATAATATATTTTGGATTTAACCAACATATCATCGAAGTGAATTTCTATGAAGTAATCATGAGACAATAGTGAAAAGTGTGGCCATATATAGTCAAAAACTTGTTTTGTTCAAAAAACAAAAAGTCAATATAAATAGTCAGAATATTGATCAACACAAAAGAAGGAATATGAAATATTTTTTCTACCTCTGCTTAAAAGCCTGAAAGGGTCATAGATCACACTCACCTCTAAAATAACAGCTCCAAGAGCAACCCACTTTGCTATCTTCCAGTTATCCTCCAAAAAATTATATATAGTCTCAAAATTTCCAGTTTTATCATCAGGAATCAGCTGCAGGAACTCAACATCAGAACCCACCAAAAGAAAAACGAAAGGCAGAAAAGAGGTTACAGATATTAAAAGTATCTCACATCCTTCCAGCTATGGTCAAAGATTATGAAAGCAGCAGCAGCCACCTCAACTAGAACCAACAAGATCACTAGAAAAGCATACTGTTTTGGGGTTAAGGAAAGCATTATATTGACAATAAAAGAGTGTCTACTTAAGTGAGACTAGATAATATGTCCACTTAGATTTATTGAGAAAGAACACATGGTCAAAGATGACAGATTTTATTATTTGTCCTCGTGAATGACAATATCCCATATGTAATGTTCTTTTTTCTCCTCAAGTCATACAAAAGACAGTTTCCTACATTGCTTAAGTACTACTGGTGTGGCATCACCTCAATTTGTTCGGTTGGAACCTACCTTCAGTGGGAAACCTCATGGCCTTTGTTTATGGCCATAATGTTATCATTTAATCATTTAGAACAAGCAACCTTATAGCACAAACTCATTTGATGGAACACTAGGCTTGCAATATTTTACAATGGTTTTACGTTGAATGACTAAATCAAAGAGTATACAATTTGCTATTTAAGATTGCAAAAAATATGGTCGTATGTAGCTTTTTAATATCAATAACATGTGATATATATACAATTAGTGCCAGCCAACTCGAGTGGAACGAACTGAACAATTTGCATGCCAGAAGGCGATACAAGCATATGATTTTACAAAAATATAATGCAAACATATCCTAAGTTAATGAACATAAATACAAGAAATGAAAATTAAATTTCAAAATGTCAGGATACACAAGACAGGCAGCACCCGTTTCTTGTTAATGCTCCAATGCAGCCAAAGCATGATATGACAAAGATAATAATCCCAACACCAATAAACAAATAAATGAACCTGCAATAACATCATATCACTAGTTTAGTATTTCCATCAATGGTAATGAATGATAGGTTAAAAAAACAAACATGGACAAAGGATTTAGAAACTGATCAGAGACCAAACATGCTTTTTGGACTGTATATGTGAAGCCATAGCTAGAAACAATAAAGAAATTTAAATTGTTGTCTTCTTAAAGGAACCTAGCGAAGAAAGCAATATAGAAATGAATATCAACCAAATGATAAGGCAGTTTTATTAGCCAGAAAGGTGGTAGAATAAAAAATCTTACAGAATAAACTCTGACATCACAGAAAACAATAATTGTTTTTCCAGTTGAATGGCATGGTATGGAGGCACATTTGGCAGTGTGCAATATATCCAATAGTACTCTGTAGGTACTGTTAAGGCATCCTGGTTGGAATGGTGACAGAAAAAAAAAAAGCTAGAAATACTCTTTCTTTGTCTGCAGGCACATCAATTCCTTGTACGAGTCATTGAACTGGAAGATGGTGTTGCTGAATCTAAAATTTTCTTGGCTTCATATTGCATATATTTCTATGCAATACCTTGGGGAAAAAGCAATAAAATTCAAATCACTATTAGTGGATCTTCTTCCAATGGATGCTGAGTTGCATGAAGGTGTAACCAAATAATCACATGGAACTCTAGCTTCCAGAACAATGAGTTAAATCATCATAACTGTAAATGTGACTTTATAGCACTAGTGTAATCTTCACGTTTGCCTTATTTTAGCAAAATCGAATTAGTGCATATAGAGCACGAGGTGGGTTGGCAAGAATTGTGGTTAGAGCGAAAGATAAGCTCCACAAAAGAAATGGAAACAGAGAAAATGAATGGTTTAGTGTGTGATAATAATGCATAATTAACTACTGCACAATCCTAAAGAAATTTCAAAACACCACAAAAGGAGGAAAGAATTTCAAGTATGAACATAAGCAGCAAGATTCTTTCGATTATCTAAATCTGCCTTTTTACCAGTTCAGCATCTACTCATACCAAAAGGCACAAATTAGTAAAAGATATCTTTTTTCACGAAATTAAGGATTTTAAACAATTGTTAGCACTTTTATAAATTAACCTAAGACTAAATATATCTTTTTACCATAATAAGCAAAATGAAACAAGCGACAAGCATAACTAGATGATCGATCACATCAACCAACAAAAAGGAAAAAAAGCTGAAACTTTTCAAGTGGAATTAACAGAAAATTCTTCGTCAAGGAACAGCGAATCAGAAGCATCCCATACCAAGCTTTGGGAAGATGATCGAGAAAGCTCGACGAAAGGGACACGGCGACAAGCATGGGCCGTCCAAGCTT